CCGGGTCCGTAAATGCCGCGTCCGCTCCGATTCCGTTTTTCCCTCCCAAGTTAGAAAAAAATTCGTTTTTTCGCGTCGCCTCCTGCTTTTCCTTTTTTTGTTTTTGTTTTGTTTCCCCGCGGGTTTTGGCCGCTGCGGCTTCAACTTTTCAGGATTTTCTTTGCTGGTAGAAGGGTTGGGAAATAGCATAGAAATTATTGTTTTCCTTAAGCACATAATTCCAGAAGCTGGGACTTAAGGAAAACATTAAAAATTATGGTGCTCGCAATGAAACTGCTACAGACCCACCACGAATTATATTTTTCCTCTTGGTGACATCCAGTGTAACGGATTTCTCGGTTCCTGACTCCTGGGGACCCCAATTCCAGCCCCGTCGTCGCCCCCTCGCTCGTGTCAGAGAAGCCGACCCCGATGGAGATAACAATGCCGGGTCCCAACACCCCCGAGTCGTGCGTTGTGGTTGCTGCGATGCTTAGCGCAGGCCAGTAAAATGCACTCGGGACACAGATCGCTGGCGAGCGGCTACGAAGCAAAAGCAGACACAGAAAGGACCCCCCCCTCAAGCCGAGTCAGCCCCCTCCCCGCCTTCTTCCCTGAAATCGTTTACATTTTGTAGCGGCTGGAAGTGGCTGGATGCGCTGGTGGGGCTGAGCCCCTCGCGGCGGGGCGCGGGCAGGGTGCGGGTTTATCGGGAAGGGCCGCGAGTGCTGCACTGCAGCCGCTCGATCTCGGAGTGGGGGGGAAAGCCTGCGAGCAGAGGCGCAGGAGTCAGACACAACATTGAGCTGCAAAATCAGCCCCTGTAAACTCCCGGCGTGGGCTGGCTTCCAGCCCCATCTCCAGACAGATCCCAGTTTCTCTCTCTGCCCTGGACTGGAGTCAATCCATGCTCGGGTCAATCCATGGGTGCTCTGGCAGTTTTAAGGGGTGCTACAGGAGAGTCTGGGCACTGGGCAGGGGCTGGGGGCTCTCAGGGCAGGCAGGTAGAGACAGTGCTGGTGGTGGTTGAGGCAGGGACAGGCGGCGCTCTCAGTTTGGCAGTTTTCAGCTGGTTTTGCTCACCGTGGAGCTCATTTGGTCCCATAGCCCATGAGGACAGCAGACGGGATTTTTTTATTTTCCTGCTGTAGCTCCTCAGTGGAGTCAGGCAGCCGCTGGGGGGGAATCACCCTGCGGAGGGTGATATTCCCGTGGGACCATCTCTTTTGTGGTAAAACCCGGAGCCCACCTTTCCTCAGTTCCCTGTATTTTTGGGCAAGGAATGTGATGTAATGCCTTGATGGTGAGCCTTCAGCTCCATGGGACAAAAGCGAGCCCCAGATGGTTGGTTTTGGGGACAGAGTGTTGACACAGGCCCCCCTCCAAGTGTCTAAAGGGATACTACAACAAAGCCTGGCTGAGGGGTGCAGCAGGGCCCTGGCCCAAGCCTGCCCAAACCCCTGGGCACCTCCTGGATCCTCTCTGGACAGGGAGAGGTGGGCAAGGAGAGGCAGAGCTCGGCTCAGCTCGCACAGCCAGGGGTCTGTGTGGGGGTGAGGGGTGTCCCACTCCAATCACCATGCCACCGGCTGCACCCCATGTGTGCGGCTGGGGGTGCTGGGGGTGCAGGCATCTCCCGGGGGGCTCCACTTGGGCCCCCTTGCCCTTGGTCAGGGCACATCGGTGGCTTTCCAGCAGCCAGCTGGGATGTGGCATAGAGCAAGTTGTTCCTGATCCCAACTGAGGCACAAGCGGCAAGAAAAGCGGAGCAGTAGGGAATTAAAAGGCCTCTTCTCCCTTTGTGTTCTTGCTGGGAGCAGGAAGGAGGTACAGGAGTAGCCACGGTGGAGGGTTTGTGCGAGAGGGCTGGGAGCACCTCTCACTGTGGGGGGGGTGCAGGCAGCACCGATGGGGTCCCTGCCTGTGTGCCCTTGCCCAGGGTCACGGCATCCTCTTGGGATGCGATCCCTGGGCATCGCCAGGCCTGGGCTGAAGCAATGGTGGAGATGTGTTGCTGTGAGCGGGTGGGAGATTTGGGCTCTCGGTGTGCTCTGGTGTGGCGGGGGCGTGCAGCCAGGGATGCCGGAGCTGCCCAAGGGGGTCTGCCCATGGGGATCCTGCACAGCTGACCGCAGCTATCTCCTTTGCACCCCTAAAGTCAGGAACTGGTGTGTGCGGGCAGACTTTTAGGATGAGGGCACCGCAGCACCCCTGCCTCAGAG